TGTTGACGTTTGTATTGAAAATCCGAATTTTGTTGTTGATGCTGAGTTGAGTGACAGCGGAAGATTTCCAGATTGGTTTCAGGTTGATGAATGTGTTTCTCGCCCTCCCGATTCTCAATTTGACATCCTCGTCCGTTCCTCCGGTAGTTGAGACAATGCTGCCTACATAAGGGAATGAAGTAACCTCTTTCAAATCCTTCCTGTTAATGGTGATTGGCGCTGGATGTCGCTGCTGTTGTTGTTGTTGTTGGTTGGTTATTTTCATAACCTCCGTCTTGTCTATGTTCACCTGGAGTCCTGTCTTTGCTGCTTCTTCGACCAGTTTGTCAGTTTTCGCTTGTAAGTCTTCGATTTTGTGTGACATCAAACATAAGTCATCTGCGAAATCCAGGTTTTCTAGGTTCTTTGTGTCGGTCCAGGATATCCCTGTCTTCTCGTTTCCCACTGTCTGACGCATAATCCTTGGGCCTGGCAAAATGGTCTCCTTCTACTCTTAAACTAGATATCATCATGAGTTGAAGTGTCTTGCTGCAGTGCAATTGACCACAATAAGTAAAACCATATATAAATTATCTCAGCTTCAGTTACGAGGACCACTCGGATCTTGTCTGTCACATTTTTTCCATCACTTTGAGTTCCAAATGGAAAAAAGGCTTCAATCTTTGATTTTTCAGTACTAGTGTGGTTTTGACGGGTTGCCGTAGCTAGTCTCACACTCAACCTTCCCTGTTTTCTACGTTTACTTTCGGCCAATAGACGACGCATAGGTTCAGGAAGCGGGGGCAATCGATCGCAACACTGAAAACGGAATCTTCTCCCGCTTAGGTGGTACACGAAAGTAAATAAGTAAAAAATTTAAGTCATTATCTACCAGTAAGATAACGATAACTTAGCCGTAGAATGTTCGCCAACCACGCCTCATGTGATCCGGGGTTCAATCCCCTGCCACAGATGCACTCCTTTACCTGTCTAAGCCGGTAATAAGATCGGCAAAGAGGGAAGGTTGGGCATGAGGTTAGATAACAACCCAATCCCGTAACAACAAATAAACACCACTGCTACCGAAACTTCACAGCTCTAGTCTGAAGCCACGATGTTCCAGTACTGGGAACGTAAATGAATAGAAAAAATAATAAATAAATAAATAAACAACCTCAAAGGAGTAACACAACTCACTGGTCAAAATCAATATTCAATCCATGGATTTCCAGAAAATTCTTTATTGCATCAACATCTTGTAATTGTTTAGCATCAATCTTCTGTGGTTCAATCGATACACATTCTGTTGTTATTGTCACATGGAATAAATAATAAGTGAACAGATACAGTAAATGAATTGCATGTGATTACGTAATCAATTAAATAATTATAATAATATTGTAACAGCAGAAGAGGTAAGACACAGAAGCCAAGGTATATATTGAACTGATCCAAACCGCTATTTACTTATATCTATACAGTTTTATGTTCTTTAACCAATCATCCCTAAGCGTGTGATTACGGTTTACATCGAACGACATGAAAGAGAATGTTCAAATACACACATATAGTATTCTGTTGCTAACGCAGTATTGAACTGTGAGAATATGGGAGAATAATATTCCGTTGGAACACATTGTCTGTATCACACCACCACATTCGTCCTGCCACCCAAACCCCGTCAAATACTTTCGACTGAAGGTGGCCGGATCTTCTTGGTGCTGGCGGCTTTGTTAACTTGTCGTGCTGTATCGAGCTCCGGAGCTCGCTGATGTCCACCCGCTTCTCTTTGTTTGCATTGCTGATCGTATATACGTGACCCCATCCCATGGTGACAATGTATGGTCCTACCCACTTTGGAAGCAGTTTGCATGACCCCGGTTCGTATTCGTCGGTGTTTAGCCTCACACTACCATATGCTGCCTTCGACCGACCTCTCAGAAGCGTTCCAAGTAACAGCCTTATCGCTGACGGAGGTTGAACATCACTAAACTCTGCAACAGCCTCGAAGTCCTGCATGAAGATCCATATGTCTCCTTCTTCGAAAACTGTAGGGCACAAGCTTTCCATTTGTCGGCAGGCAGAGACACCAAATGTGGCAGTAGAAGGTAAGACACGAAAGCCAAGGTATATTTTCAAGTGATCAAACGGCTGTTTATATATACGCAATCACTGAGCGTTTGATTTTGGTTTACATTAAACTACATGAAACAGAATTATATCTATCCAAACCAAGTTCACTTTTAAAGGTTTGAAAAATTTGGGCATTGGGTATATGATATTCATTATAATATAGGTTTTTGTATTTCCCAATGAATGGAAAACAAAACGATATTGTTTTTCATTCATTGGGAATAGTATTCAGACGTTCACACCCACCAACAAATACAATGATTCTTACTGTGAGAATACTATTTCGTTGGATCACACTGTCTGTATCATAACATCACAATATGATTTTAAGACGTCACTAAAGCGTAATGCAAAGGATACTATATGGTGATTGGTTTCTACTAATTACCTGATATTTGGTACAAAAACATCTGGGTTTAAAACTTACCATAGGTGCCAAGTGGGACGAACATGGATGAGGCTTCAACAGCACATCTCAATTTCATGCTGTTCTCCACAGTCGTCTTTAACTAGCTCCATGATTACCCATAGACTCTCATCTCCTGCTCTTCCTCGTACGACCAACGCTATGTCACTGTTGGACAAACTACCTACACATCATTATTAATATGTGTGTAAAACTTGGGCACTGTGGTAGTAAGTCATTCCATATTAGTTTGTTTATTAAATGTATCACACAGTGGAGAAACAGTATTATTTACTGGATGACACAGTTTCGAACATAATTTACTGTCCATAATCATATCATCAATTGTAATCACACGACTTTGAAACTTGAGTTTTATAGTTTTCTTTGTCCTCTCCTGTTTGTCGTCGTAGGGGTAGTAGAATTTTCCAGATATCCCTCTGGACAGGTGTTGAATCATTCCTATTACATGTATTTGCAGTTGATTCGATAAAAAAAAGCTTCTGTTATCGATCTCTCCCTCAACCTTGTGACATTAGATTTTAAAACTGTCATCTTATCCCATCCATCCTATTGTATGGTTGTGTGTAACTGCGTGTGGTGTAGTGCTATAGTTGAACTATTCTCTAGATATCTTATCTTATTCGCGTCAACTAATCAAGATTTTGTTAGGTTTTTGTGCTTAGCTAGTCTGACTCACTGTCCCCGTTCTACTACTTTGACCTATGTATTTGACCTGACAATCATCGCAGGCAGGGTATTAGATAAATTAAATTGTTTTGTTTAATGGGCTGCTCCACAGGATTGATCCTTTAACCGACAAAGCTTGTTTCTAATTGAGTTTGTGGGTGGTTTGAATGTCAGAAGCCACTTGTATTTCTGCCTTGTTAAGAATTCTGCGTAAGGTGGTTTCCGAATTTCCTTCCTTGTATGGAATTACTACTGATGATTTAGACTCCTTATTGTTGGTTTCGTCATTAATATTATTGTTATTATTATTATCACTATCGCTACTATCATTGTTTATTTTATTTTTACATTTCCTTACATATTTCCTGACTAATTTATCCGGGTAATTATTAAGTTTCGAGGCTTCTTTTATGTGTATCAGTTCCTGCCTTAGATTTTCCTTGTTACTACTTAGTTTTTGTGCTCTGTCACTTAAACATTTCACCAATCCTATTTTTACTGACATAGGATGAGATGATCGGAAGTCCAAATATCTATTTGAATGTGTGGTTTTTCTGTAAACACTATTGTTTAACTCCCCATCTTCTTTCCTTTTTACGTTGGAGCTCCCCTTCCTGATTTTCCAATTCATAAGTGAATTGAATTGCCTCTACAACCGAGTTGATGTGTTGTTCTGAGTACAGTGAATGTGCCATCTACATACCTCCACCATACTTTTGGGGTGGGGGTGAACGTTTCAATAGCTATGCTTTCCCACTTATCCATGAATATATCTGCCACAACTGGGAATATTGGTGATCCCGGGAATAAAAGTGGCATTTAAACCCGCAAACTTAGTTGGAAACAAGCTTTGTCGGTTAAAGGATCAATCCTGTGGAGCAGCCCATTAAACAAAACAATTTAATTTATCTAATACCCTGCCTGCGATGATTGTCAGGTCAAATACATAGGTCAAAGTAGTAGAACGGGGACAGTGAGTCAGACTAGCTAAGCACAAAAACCTAACAAAATCTTGATTAGTTGACGCGAATAAGATAAGATATCTAGAGAATAGTTCAGCTATAGCACTACACCACATGCAATTACACACAACCATACAATAGGATGGATGGGATAAGATGACAGTTTTAAAATCTAATGTCACAAGGTTGAGGGAGAGATCGATAACAGAAGCTTTTTTTATCGAATCAACTGCAAATACATGTAATAGGAATGATTCAACACCTGTCCAGAGGGATATCTGGAAAATTCTACTACCCCTACGACGACAAACAGGAGAGGACAAAGAAAACTATAAAACTCAAGTTTCAAAGTCGTGTGATTACAATTGATGATATGATTATGGACAGTAAATTATGTTCGAAACTGTGTCATCCAGTAAATAATACTGTTTCTCCACTGTGTGATACATTTAATAAACAAACTAATATGGAATTGCCCAACAAATCGTTTCCCGTTCGGGTTCCCCACTAAAGGCTTTCATTGGCGTGCTATCTCGGGGAAATGAAAGACAGATATACATGGCGCCGACAAGAAGACTCGAGCAGATTTGGACTTCGCGGATGATTTATGTCTAGAGTCACACAGACTTGAAGACCTGCTTGAAGATCCCGCTTCTTTTCTTGTTCAGCGTAGTTTATATATGCGTAGCATTGGATAATTGTTACCTTCCTTCCTTCCTTTGGAGTTGACAGACTTGCCACACGGGTCACCAAAAACATTTTCAAAAGGTTTCCACAGACTCTTATTAACAGCTGTCAGCTCGATAATGAAGATCAAATGATCGGCTAGGAAGAATCAGCAACAAGAAACTCTGACAATCAACAAACCAACAAAGTGTCAATTTACCAACAAATGTGTCGAAGAAAATCGAGATGAATCGGACACACGCTACAGAGATCGTTGAGTGACATCGAAAACCACTCAAACCGTCGAGGGGGATACAAATGGGAAACAACAAGATGCATGTGGGTCAGACAGTGGCATGGAGGATATGGTGTGAATTGGAGATGACAGCTGGTCAGCAATCGTCGAGCCAGGTGAAGAGAATTGAAGAAAACAAAGTGGAATGGAGATGAGCTGCAGAAGTCCTATGTTCCACTCGGAACCTAATGGAATAATAATAATAATAACACTCGACTCTTAGATATATATATATATATATCTAAGAAATGCAGCATACATACAAAACTCAAGACGTCACAGTTCTGTATAGTGAAACCCATTCGCCGATTGAGTATGAGGTTCACGTATCGAAAGCCTCAATGTGATCTTGGTAAAAGAGGGCTTTAGGCGACTGAAAACACTGTTCAGAGGAAATAAAAAGGATGAGGCAGTAAAATTTGAGGGAACTCAGTTACTCCGATCATATTTTTCATGCACCGGAAGGTTATGAGACACACTTATGTTTATGTGAGGCCTGATGATACTTACCATTAGTTTCCTAGGCTGAAACTAGGTGGAGCGGGTCTCGAACCAACCAAACAACCAAGACGAGTGATTAAGTTACTTAGGTTTTTTACGTGAAGAGAGTATGTTTCGTGTTCTGACTGAGACTATACAAGCGGTTGACAGACACATCATGGAAGCATTCACATCGTGGAGGTTAATAACTTCTTGAAATAAATCAAACAGAAAAAGGATTGTTTCTTGGAACTTGGCTGCTCATGAACTGACACAAGTCAGAGTGCCGATGGAAAACCAGCTGGAAGTAGTGGACAGTCTTTTCGTCCGATTTAGGACCCTTCAGCAGCGCACACTCACAGGGGTTCGAACCCAAGACCTTCTAATCTCGGTTACGTTATATATCACGAATCGGTAAAAGTTGGAATTCATGAGGTGGTGATTGAATCGAGTCCCAGTAGCTGAAACATCAACATCGAGAAGGTCCTGGGTTAGAACCCTGGTTTAGAGGTGCTCACTGATGAAGGCTCCCAAACCAAGACGAAACAGCTGAGAGTGGAACCTGACTTTTCAGCGATTCTCGAAAAATTTTCAAGTATTGGTTTTGTAGGGATTTTGTTTGATTGCATGGAGGATTTCATCATGAGCTGACACTCGTTAGAGAATTAAAT